CGCTGTATTACTGCCACCTATGAAATCTGTGGTGGTTTATGTAAGGATATATATTATTTATAAAGGGCGTGTCCCTTTCCCTTAGATGAAATATTACAGTGCCTCCAGCCGTTAAAATACGGCAAATATTTAGTAGACCAATAATTTGGACATCTTGATAATTTGATCACCACTTATTATTATACCTTGAATTCTTTTAGCCAATATGATTTCGTACCATACACACAAAATTTGCCTTATAATAGATAAATATAAAAATTTATTTATGTACAAAAATTATATATATATTAACACAAAACGCAAAAGACTGGTGATAAATGAATATTGGTACACACAATCAAAAATATATCCTACCAATGTAAGACACAATAATAAGGTCTCTAACTAATTACATCAATCACAAATTTTAAATGATATGATATTTATTAAATTTATTAATAATTAATAATTTCGAATATCTCAAAGGTTATATTCTTACAAGCCGTGGCCATAGGATTGCAAGAAGCAAGCCCTTGATATATGATACTCTGGTTATTAATATTCAATAAATTATGAAATATGAAAAAAATTTATAATATGGCAATAAACAATTTTTAACAGTAACACAGTATCTTTCTACATATATCTAACTACCCAATATTGTTATGATACACTAAGGTAATTTTATGATTCCACACACAGAGAAAATAATTAATACAAAATCAAATAAATATCTCACCACACACCCGGAATTCAGACTAGGCAACTCTCCCGTGGATTTAGCTGGTAGTGGAACGCCTTTAGACTGATATATAGGGCAAGTGATAGATTCAGTAGGGGAGAATGTAGGAAGTTATAAGATTAGAGGTTTAAAGTTTTAGGAAGTTTGAAAAGATGGAAGAGTAGTTATTCAGCAGAGATCTTCTTCAGATGTCAGGTCTTTCCATGAGGTTTTTATGAGGGTTTTTTTTTTCTTAAAGCACATGGGCTTTTATATCCACTAGTCCATTGTTCTAAGATACCTTCCCACCAGGCTTCCTGATTGGCTAGTTGAGAAATGTGTGTACATAAGCTATTTCTCACCTGCTCGCCAGGTGGCGGTCATGTATCACAGAACAATGTGAGCATTTGAGATGACTCATACCTTGGGTGGAATCTTCAGGTAATTTCAGGAATAAAATATACGGCTCTTTCCCGATATAGCAGTGATCATACCTATGATATTCTAAATAGGGACCATGGAATATAGGTGTATATTCAGTTATTCCTTCTTGAAATACCATCCTGTTTGTTTCCTGATAAGACATGTAACTAATGCTAGTTTATAATACATCTTACTTCCCATCATCTCAATACTCAAGTTAGTGATATATAGTTCCCATTGCTGAGTATTTAGTGGTGTTTAAAGTCTATGACATCTTATTTATAATCTGTTTTTGTAGTACATTTTTGTAATGATATACAGTGAACTTTTAGACTTAAATGTCCTGAATTTCACCTCTTTGTTTCAGAATCAACATTTTCTCTGTGTAGAAAAAAAAAATTCTCTGTTTGCCTAGCCCTTGTATTGGACTCATGGTAAACAATTGTTAATGCTTTCCCCTTTGGTGAACAATAGTAGATGGTAATAGTTTCAGAGGTCTGTTGGTTCATCACACTCTACAGGTTTTGGTTAAGCTTTCAACCAATTGAGTTCCCGTCTCATTATTGTTGAAATGTTTACAAGTCAAAGTCTTATGTGTTTGACTTTCTGTATGTGCATTCTTCTCAACCTCCATATACAAATAGTCCTTGTTGACAGTTCAAACAGTCTTATTGTCTTGGAAAGGTCTTACTTCCCCCATTCTCTCCAGTTCTTTAACTAGAATTCTTGATGGTTCAACCAAGACAAAATTAACTCTTAGCATCCGGCTATGCTGAGCTGTTTGCCATATAAAAGTATGTCTTGATAAAAGTCATATTCTTGAGACATGATTCAAAAGCCCACAACAAATCAGGTAGCATCAGGATCAGTTAGGGCCTCTCCCAGCCAGGGTCAGCTAGTGTTAGATTGCCCACACGCTATCGCATTCGCACTATAGGACACTGATCACCTCCATTACTAGTATAGTGTTTGTATGGATTAATATATTGATTACTAAGAGAACTTTACTAGTGCCTCCTTCGTATAGTGTCCCCAAAAATGCAGTGGTAACAGGATCAGCCCCATTTTGCTGCCAGCACTAGAATTTAGCCCCTTCACTGGTTTTCATGGAAGATTTGTATCAATTGATTGTGGGCCAAAGCAATTTTTTATGCACAACAATATATGGCTTATAAAAGAATACAAGGTAGCCAAAGCAAAGGAATTAGTAAAAACAATGTGTCATTTATTAAACAAATCTCCACACTTACATGCAAGAAGTTCTACTTGGACGTAGAAGGAAACGACAGTATGTGCCTGAGAATGATGAGCCCTGCCTAAAGACCGGCTACAGCTGTCATCCACAGGAAACCGGATCCGCTGTGTAAGGATGGAAAGCATCACCATCAACAGCCATCCTTAACGAACATGGCATCCACTGGGAAAGAAGCAAAGGGGCATGTACAATGTGTTTCAGAGGCCCTTCCTCCTTTATCAAGTACAATCATACATAGTACAGGAATGGTTTTTTTTACTGGTGGCTGAAAGCCAGTAAACAGGAAGAGAAATTAAGTGGGAGATGAAAGTGAGGCAACAGCTGTGATATGACCAATCCGCAGGCTGATGTGTGTGTGTGTGTGTATATATACAGTGGGGCAAAAAAGTATTTAGTCAGCCACCAATTGTGCAAGTTCTCCCACTTAAAAAGATGAGAGAGGCCTGTAATTGACATCATAGGTAGACCTCAACTATGAGAGACAAAATGAGAAAAAAAAATCCAGACAATCACATTGGCTAATTTGGAAAGAATTTATTTTACACAGCTGTTGAAACCTTTCTCCAATAGAAGGAGAATGGGGAATGGATTCTGTAATCTATAGTTTGAGGCCTTCGGCTGATTTATGTTTAAGGATGAAGTGTCTAGGTACAGTGTGCTCAATATCACCCTCTTGAATAAGCTGTCTGTGTCCACCAAATCTGGCACGGGCAGTACGGATGGTGCGGCCCACATAGAGGAGTCCGTATGGACGTGACAGACGGTTTACAAAAGCAGTGGCGCAAGTGAAAAATTGATTTATGGCAGATGATCTTCCATCACAGTCAAGGAAGGATTTTTGTTGATGTTGAACAAATGGACACATTTTACAGAGACCCTTTTTACAGCAGTACATACCTGTCAGATTGCAAAAAAAGGTAATGGGATGAGAACTGAGCTTGTGGGAAGTTTGCAGTTTTTTTGCTTGTTTTTAATGTTAGTGGCCCTTTTATATACACAACTGTGTTCAGGGGAATAACATGCATGTGGGGTCACGGAGCGAATTATTCCAATGACTGGAAATTATATTTTCCATCTGTCTGGATTTACAGTGAAAATTGGCAATGAATCTAACATCAGATGAGATAGTCCATTTATTACCCTCATGGGTGGTGTTAACCTGGGCACATTCTGATTGTACTTTGTCAATAATTTCTGCCTTGTAGCCTTTATCAAGGAATTTCTTTTTAAGGAGGAGGCTTTGAGATTTTTAGTCTGAGTCAAGGGTCCAATTTCTTCGCAGTCTGGTGAATTGGCCTTTGGGGATATTGCTGATCCATTTTGGGTGGTGGCAGCTTCTGGAATGTAGGTGTAAGTTCCCTGAGGATGGTTAGAAATGGGTTTTTGTCACTATAGTGCTGTGATAATGACTGAACTCTAGATCAAGAAAAAACATAGAGGTCTTGTCCCAGACATGAGTGAACAAAAGACTCAAAGTATTACTGTTGCAGTGTTGAACAAATAATTCAATGTTTGCAGGTGGGCCGTCCCAAATGACTAAAATGTCATCTATATATCTCCCGTAATATACTAAATGGGACGCAAAAAGAATTGTTCCTCCAGATACAGGTCTCCTCCCAGCAGCCCATGGTGAGGTTGGCGTAGCTTGGTGCAAAAGAGGCGCTCAGAGCTGTTCCCTGTATCTGGAGGAAATACTGCTCAAGAAAGGTGACGTAATTATGTTCGAGACAGAAACGACCACTTTCTAGAATTAATTGGGCCTGCATATTATGTAAATTTGAAACAATGATAAGAAAATGAGAGAGGGCTGCTAAACCCACTTCATGGGGAATAGAAGTGTACAGTGACTGTACATTCAGGGATAGCCACAAATTGGAGTCTTCCCAAGTGTAAGCTTTTAGAGTGCCTAAATGTTGAGAGGAATCTCTAATGTATGATGGTAGGCCTTGTACTAGGGATTGGATAAACTCATCTATAAATGTAGAGAGTCCATGGGTTAGACTTTACATGGGGATGCTATGATAGGGTTGCCAGGCGAATTCATTGGATTTTTGTGGGGGAAGTGGTTAAGCTCAATAGAAACTGGAATATGTGTGAAGGAGCTTAAAGTGATCTTAAAGGGTATTTTTTGCTTAAAATAAAAAAAATAGGTTATACTTCCAGCTATCTGCAACAATTTTGCACACAGCAGTCCCTGCCGGTGTTGGCTGCTGCTCCTTTCTATGGGTGCATCCTTAGCAAGCTGTGTGCATGCGTGCTCCGGAGCTGGGCTTCCAAAAACACACACACATCAGCAGTAAGCCACACACACTCTCCCTCCTTACAGGAGTTTGACTGACAGCAGCAGGATTTTTCAAATCCTGAGTATAATAAAGGCAGGAAATCCAAAACCAATCTACATTCTGTTAGGAAGGAGTGGAATTGTAAAATCATTGTCCTGACTGTGTATTTATACAGTATATATCTGTTTTTTTTTACTTTATAAAGGATAGAGTTTGGCAATAGTTGCTAAGGAATTTCAGTATTTCAGCACTGTAGCAGTCTGACAAACAAATGCAATACACTGTCCTGTTTTTATTTTACTGAAATATGCACAGCTTTATTGTACATATCATGTTTCAGAGATCCAGAAAGCCAGTTAGATAATGATTCACAGAATATTTTCACCATGGCTAAGGAAGCATTACTGGAAGGACTGGTGGATGAAAATGCAGAACTCCAGTAAGTTTAATTCTCTACATTACTACTGCTCATTAATAACAGACAAAAATTGCTGTGTTTTCATTGTTACCAAGAAAGTGAGGGGAAATTCAAAATTTTAGAAAAACTTAAATGTGAATCCCTGTTCTATAGACCTAAGCGGGGAACACCCCACATGTTGGGAGATTTTGTTCTAACTATGTTGTTGTTCCAGGACAGGAAGAGACGTAAATTATTCCCAGTGGACGCTATAACAAAAACTGTCAGGGGATTTAATGTAAAAATTACATACACTTTAAGCTAGATTTTCAGTCTCTCTGTTTTTAGATTTTGTAACAACAGCCATCCAATATTTTTTATGATTCAATGCCTGAGCAGCAGTAGTAAAAGTGTTTCCTCTTTTTACCTTCCAGGACGGCACACCTGATAGACAAGAGGCTCCTCCCTACAAGAAACGCAATCAATTGACAACTGTTATAAGTCCCCACCTTTCACCTTGTCCCTCAGTATTGATTGTTTTTCTCCCTACACAGTAGAACGTTTGTTGTTTGCATTGACCAGATGACTGGGGAGGCGTCAGATGGAACCCCTGTGAGGCAGGTCTAGGGATGTAGGGGAGGGCTGAACTAACCTGCAGACCAAGTGTCTTTCACAGGTCGCACTGGTTGTGCAGCAGCAATCCGGGCACAAGGGAGTGTGTTCCGCAGCTGCAGCAGACTGTACAAGTGTGTGTGTGTGTGTGTGTGTGTGTGTGTGTGTCACGGCCCAACTTGGCAGCCTTCCAGGAAGGACAGTAACTTGGAGGGGTGAAATTGGCCGCTATCCTTCCTCCTCCTTGTGACTTTGAGGATGGAAAAGCGAACCCTGTTACAAAAGGCAGAAGACAACAGGCATTGAGTCCCTTTGCCTTGGGAGCTTAATAGCAGAATCCCTAATAACAGCCTGGTGGTTTCTGGGCATTGAGATCAGAATCCCTTTCCTTAATGCGGGTGTTACTGCGACCCAAAAGCTTCTGCTAGACCACCATCCACAGCTACCTCTTACTTTGGAAGATGCTGTGGTTATTGCAACATTAAGTGGTCAGCTTCTCACTCTAAGCCCTACTGTAGTAAATTAAGAGTGGTGAATTTAGTGAAGTGCTTAGGCCTGATAGACACTAGCTCCCCTGGGAGAGTCTTTTACAGGCTATTTATGCCACTGAACAAACTCTTGACACACCTAAAGAGATGCAGGGTAGGGCAGGAACCTGGATATTCCAAGATTGTCACAGCAGCTTATCCCCTGGTCAACAGTGCTACACCAGGTAGTAAAAAATCTGCTAGAGGTTTTCCTTCCAGCTTTCCTCCAAACTTTAGCCATATGGAGTGGAGGCACAGTATTGCATACCTTTACGAGCAGGTCTTCTTTTTGGGTTTCTTTGCTGTGGGTAACATCTCTCAGGCTGTACAGCAGCTTAGAGATATGTAAGCTCCAAGCTATTAAATTATTCCTACCCTGATGTTATAATTTGTGGCATGCAAGGACAGATTGTATTGGTGGGCTACAGCCTACCCTGAACTAGAAGCATAAAGGGTTATACTTACAGCCCTTAATTGTTGGGATCCCAGTGCAATGATTGCTTGTTAAGGCCTGCTGGTTACACCCTCCAAGCTAATATAGTGACCACCTCTTCTTGAGCAGTAGCCACCTATGTATGGACTAGCTAAACCTACTCATACTTCTGATAGTGTATGGGGGAATTCACTGTGTAGATGCATAACTAAATATGCAGCATCAGTGTGACTCATATTTTGCATCTATTCTAAACCAAAACCTTCGGTGAGGTTAACTCTAGTGGTGGAATCTCTATCTGTTGTTGGTTGCCAGCAGCTACTACAAGGGTGGTGCGTTCACCTTAGACTTCCATCATCCAGGGCCCTCTACTGGATGGATGGATAAAGGATGTATATCCAAAGTCCAGACCAAACCTATGATAGATAGTGCCCTTTGTGGGGTATTTCTTATATGAATACACCATGACTGTGACTTTATGCTTCTGCAGCATGTGTCCCCGATTCACTCAGTTGCACTTCAGAAATGCTCAACATTGAGGTTTCTGTTTTTCTGTTTGTTATATCTTCCTGCACATCAGAAATGCACAGCAGGCAATGTTATGCTTTATCTTCCTGCATGTCAGCAATGCATACCATTGAAATTTGTGTCTTTTCTGGTTATATGTGTTATATTGCTTTAGCTGGAGTGCATCAGAAATACCTAACATTGAAATAAGTTTGTGTCTTTTCTGTTTATCGGTGTTATATCACTTTAATATGCTGCACATCAGAAATACACAACATTGATGTTTGTGTTCTTTCTCTTTTTATATGTGTTATTTTACTCTAGCTACTTGTCAGAAGTACCCAACATTGCAGGTTGCTTGTGTCTTGTCTGCTTATATGTGTTATATTACTTTATCTAGCTGCACGGTAGAAATACACATTGGAGGTTGTTGGTATTCTTGCTGGTTATATTGCCTTTCCTTGCTACACATCAGGAATAGACAACATTGAAGTTGTGTCTTTTCTGTTTATATTTGTTATTTTAGCTGGCAACGCATCAGAAATACACAACATGTAAAGGTTATGTTTGTGTCTTTTCTGTTTGGGATTTGATTTATCTAGCTGCACTTCAGAAATGCACAACTCTGAGGGTTATGCTTATGTTTTTTTTCTGTTTATCCATTGTGGTATCTTAATGCACAGCATGGAATGTTATGCTTGTGTCTTTTCAATCTGTAATTGTTATCTGCACATTAAAAAAAACACACAGCAATGAGGTTTATCTTATGTATTTTCTGTTTTACACTAGTTAGTTTGCCTAGCTAGCCACACATCAGAAGCATGCAACTTGGAAGTTAGGGTTGTGTCTTTTCTATTTGTTGGTTTATCTTGCAGCATGTCAGAAATGCACCACATGGGAGTTTGTAGCTTTCTGTCTATGTAAGTGTTTTCTCATGAGGCACACCAGAAATACACAACATTGGAGTTTTTGCTTGTGTCCCTTCGGTGTAAATCTATTTTCTTGTGCTGTGTAGCAGAAACACACAATCTATTACCTTTATATTTGTGATACTAATTTTACATATATCACTCTTATATTCTCACTGAAATTGTTTTCCTGTGCAGAGGCTGAGGAACTCTGTGCGGAGACTTCAGATGCCAGTTCCTTACATTCAGGCATACCAGGGGTACTCCCTGGGCCTGAAAACTAGTAGGGTTATAGGATATAATATCAGTCTTGGAGGAAGGTTATGGAATCACCTTTCTTAGTTGTACTTTACTTCATTGCGTTACTTCAGAGTTCTGCCTTATGAGAATTTTTGTGGTTCTTTCCATAGGAGTATTATGACCCGAAGACGTAGTATCAGAACTTACCAATCCGCCCCATGTACCTGGTCTGGTAGCCTACGGTTCTATATATGTCTCTTGTGTATCTTTTATGTGTCCTCTGTGTAACCCTATTGGCAGAACATGACTTAGCAAGCCAATATGAATGTCTTGTTGCTGCTATGGACTTCCGAAGCAGGGATCTGCTTAATTTAACACTCATCAGTACCAATAGGCACCCAATGGTGTTGGAGTGGAATCAGGTTTCAGACATCAGGCAGGGTGCCTGATATTTGTGGAATAATTCCAGTCATTTATCCAGCTCCTTTCTGCTTAATTTATCTGCATTTAACTGCAGGTGTATTGGGTGCTTTGGTGTGTGTATATAGAGCACTTTCATTGCTGATATACCAGCAGGCAGATGTGAGGAAGCCATAGGTATGGGTGTGCTTGGGGGTACATACCTGCCCAGCCTTTTACAGCTTCCTTCAAATTTATTACCCATAAGTAGGATGCATTTTAGCCATCACTATGACCAAAAGAAGAAAGGGTCCCACAAAGGATGTCGGGGATCCTTTCCTAAGTCATTCGCCCGGTCAGAATAGCGTTCAGCAGGATCCTCTTTATTTGCCAAAAGTAGTGCCTTGTTTCACAGAACATTTTACTGCTTATTCCATTAAGGGGTCCTAAGAAGTGGTTACAGGCAGGAACAGCCATGATTGCTAGATAGTTTAGAGAGTTCACCTCTCTAACCTACAAAACTCAGTTTTTCTGATTCCATCAGGTCTAAGAGCACACTTCACTAGATTCGGCATCAGGGAGGAGAAGGCAGGACATCAGTGGAGCAGATTAGCAGATCAGCCATAGGATCCAGCCAAGATACCTTCATCTGATGTTATATTGTGAAGGTACACTCAAAGCAGTACCTGGCGTTTGGCAGGAAGGTCTTGTAGGCAGTGGTCCCACCCCAAAGTAGGCCTGTGGTTACTTGATTATCATCTCAGGTGTGCTGTCCTGGAAGGTGAGAAGAGAAAGCCAACAGTTACACTTACCATTAACGGTATTTCTATGAACCTTCCAGGACGGCAGGCCTACTTCCTGCCCTGCTAAGGGAGGAGAAAAACTCCTAAAAGTAGTAGGTGATGAGTACCTATGTGGAAATTATTCCCCTTGTGGACCTGTTTCAGGAGTTCCTTTATTACAAACTGAGGGACAATGGAAAGAGTGGGGATTTATAACGGCTATCAATTGATTGTGTTTCCTGTAGGGAGGAACCTCTCATCTCTCAGGTGTGCCATCCTGGAAGGTTCATAGAAATACCGTTACCGGTAAGTGTAACTGTTGTTTTTTTTTGTTTGCATGTGGGTTTTACCAGACCTGATAGTCACTCCTTATACCTGTCATGATATATAGTGACTGCATTTCCTGAAAGATGTGAGCTATGGACTACGAGGAAGGAAAGTGTTTGTTTTTTGAAGATTTCATTTTCCTCTGATGTCCATGTTTTTTTTGTTTTTTTTAATCCCTTTGCCATGTGTTCAATAACTGTAGAATATGTCTAGCAGAAGCAAGCCATTTATCTTAATCATACAGTACAAGATTTCAAATTAAAGACTGTGGGTTATATGCCTCTACCTTCAGATGATTGGGCACTGGCAAAAGCTTTGCTGGGAACATTCCCAGTGCACTCATTTATAGCCCATACACTCTATGGACCCCATTTGTTTTGCTAATGTTCTTAAGGTATTCACATCTTTTCCTATGGAGAAATTTTCTAAACAGTTTTTAAAAAAAAGTTTTATTTTTTTTTACAAGGGGCGTTCAAGTCAAACCAGGACTTTTGAGTTTAAAAGAGCAAATTTCAGCCTGCATTTATTTTTCGACATACACGCCTGCTACACTTACAGTTGCAAGAAAAAGTATGTAAACCCCTTGGGATTACGTGGAGTTTTGCATGAATTGGGCATAAAATGTGCTCTGAACGTCATCTAAGTCACAACCATAGAAGAACACAGTCTGCTGAACATAATACTACACAAACATTAGATGTTGCCATGGTTTAATTGCACATAACATGTAAACATTCACAGTGCAGGGAGGAAAAAGTATGTGAACCTTTGGATTTAATAACTGGTTGACAGCAATAACCTCAACCAAACGTTTCATGTAGTTGCAGATCAGACCTGCACAACGATCTGGAGTAATTTTGGACCACTCCTCTTCACAAAACTGTTTCAGTGTAGCAATATTCTTGGGATGTCTGGTGTGAATTGCTCTCTTAAGGTCATGTCACAGCATTTCAATCGGGTTGAGGTCAGGACTCTGACTGGGCCACTCCAGACGGCGTATTCTGTGCTGTTGCAGCCATTGTTTTGTTGAATTACTTGTATACTTTGAGTCATTGTCCTGTTGCATCACCCATCCTCTGCGGAGCTTCAGTTGGCGGACAGATGGTCGTACGTTTTCCTGCAAAATGTCTTGATAAACTCTGGAGTTCATTTTCCCATCAATGACAACAATCTGTCCAGGCAGCAAAGCAGCCCCAAACCATGATGCTCCCTCCGCCATGTTTTACAGTGGGGATGAGGTTTTGATGTTGGTGTGCTGTGCCTTTTTTTCTCCACAAATAGTGTTGTGTGTTTTTCCCAAACAACTCAATCTTGGTTTCATCTGTCCACAGTATATTTTGCCAGTAGTGCTGTGGAACATCCAGGTGCTCTTTTGCAAACGTCAAACGTGCTGCAATATTCTTTTTGGACAGCAATGGCTTCCCCCGTGGTGTCCTCCCATGTACTCCATTCTTGTTTAATGTTTTCCTTATTGTAGATGTGTCAACAAAAATGTTAGCATGTGCCAGAGATTTCTGTAGGTCTTTAGCTGACACTCTGGGATTCTTCTTTACCTCATGCAGCATTCTGCGCTGTGTTCTTGCAGTCATTTTTACAGGACGCCCACGCCTAGGGAGAGTAGCAATAGTGCTAAACTTTCTCCATTTGTAGACAGTCTGTCTTACCGTGGACACATGAACATCAAGGTTTTTGGAGATACTTTTGTAACCCTTTCCAGCTTCATGCAAGTCAACAATTCTTGATCGTAGTTCTTCTGAGAGCTCTTTTCTGCGAGGCATGGTTCACATCAGACAGTGCTTCTTGAAACCAGTAAACCCAAAACAGGTGTGTGTGTTTTTAAGGGCAGGGCAGCTGTCAGCAATACATCCAGTATCATCACACTGATTGGAGTCAAAGTTTGCTCACTCCTGGCTCCAATTAGCTCTGGGAGAAGTCATTAAGCTAGGGCCTCACATACTTTTTCCTCCCTGCACTGTGAATGTTTGCATGTTATGTGCAATTAAACCATGGCAACATCTAATGTTTGTGTAGTATGATGTTCAGCAGACTGTGTTCTTCTATTGTTGTGACTTAGATGACGTTCAGAGCACATTTTATGCCCAATTCATGCAAAACTCCACGGAATCCCAAGGGGTTCACATACTTTTTCTTGCAACTGTATATATTTAGCCCAATGTTTAACTAATGCCTGGAAAGTTTTGGCATAGAAAGATTTGTCAGTACACCTGAACCATCCTAGGACAGCCTGCTTCACTTCATCAGCAGTGCTGAAATTCATGTCTTGTGCAAATTTATGACAGGTTATGCCTTATGCTTCGATTATCCAGAATCAGATATAAGATCTCTTAACTATGGTTCTGTCTTGCAAAATCCAAAAGACAATCCAGTTTCTTCAAACTTTTGGATGGCTGATAAACTTCAAGAAACCTTTTGCTTTGTACTGTCTTGTCAAGGCCTTCATACAAGGAGTTGCTCGTGTTAATCCCCCACTCTGTTGACCTGTATCTGCATGGGATCTGAATCTGTTGTGTTTTGGTTTTTCCAAAACCTTCCTTTGAACCAATTTGGGATATCACACTAGCAGATCTTCTGGATAAGGAACATTTTTTGCTGGCCATTACCTCCATCAGGTGTGCCTCTTTCATGCAAGGATCCTGTTCTTGCACTACATAGGGACTAGGTGATCCTGAGACCCAGATCCTCCTTTCTCCCCCAAGGTAGTCTTTTCCTTTCACCTAAATGAAGATGTTATCCTCCCTTTCCTGCTGTGAAACATGCCAATGAGATTTCATTATACTGTGGTCACAGCAGTTAGGGCCTTCCATTTCTAGGTGGCTTAGGCTGCTAATTTCCAGGGCTTACGACTTCAAGGAATTAACTCCTCCCTTTGCTGTCAAGGCCCATTTCACCAGACCTGTAGGTGTTTCTTGAGCCTTTCAGCATCAAGCATCTGTTTCTCAGGTTTGCAAGGCCACCACCTAGATCTCTGTTCATAGTACTTTTTCAAAGGTTTACCGGGTGGATGTTCAGGCCTCTGCCAATGCAAGCTTCAACTTTCATGAGCCCGTTTGCTGTGTTGTTGCCCACTCATCAGTTTATTGCTTGGGGATGTCTGTGACGTGCTGTCCTGTGCTTGTATGATGAAGATAATAGAAAATTTGACTTACCAGTAAATCCCATATCTTGGAGTACAGTACAAGACGTGTATCTCCCTTCTGTTTCTCTTTATTTCTTGCTACTGGAGTTCCACAGAGTGGTCGGGGTTATTATGAGGGTAACACAGGAGTGTTCCCAGCAAAGTTTTTGCCAGAGAACAATCACCTGAAGGTAACTGCATATAACCCACATTCTATGACTTGCTGTCCCATGTCCGGCACTGAACTACAATATGGGATTTATTGATAAGTCATAATTCCTATTTGTAACTACTTGAACAGTATAATGTCTATATACTAGCTGTACATAAACAATGAACTTCCCTTATTTGCTACTTGCTTTTGGCCTTCTAAATATCATTGAAACTGTTGTGTTATTTCTGTTTGACAAGGGCAAAAAAACACTCCTGTTTATTTTGCCAGAAATCTTGTAAGCAGCTTCCTTACTGTGCTCTCTGTCTTTGCACAGTGAGAGGTTATGGAGATTAGGAGAGTTTTGAGTTCTTTGCAATCCCTCAGAAATGAAGTAGGCAGGGATGACAACATGTGCTTGGGAATTAAGAGCTGTGATGACATATATGAACACTTCCAAAGGATAATTTTCTATTTGCTGTTATCTTTCATAGGCTTATTGTCAGGAATTTCTGGAGCAATGAAACTCGGTTACCAACTGGCACAATGGATCGTATGTTAGCTGTGCTTAGCTCTTTATATTCCAGTAAAATTGAAAAGCACTTTTTAAGCTTGGCCACCAACCTGTTGCTTGAAATGACCAGCGGGAGTCCAGATTATATCAAGCAAATGTTTGAGTATCCCCTGTCAGAATGCAAGTTCCAGGTAAAGTATGCAGTAATGTCTCTGAATTTCAGCCATGAAATTAATTCCAGTTACATGTATGTTTTAACCATTCTATTGAAGGACTACACAGTTGATTCCAACTGGCGCTATCGCAGCACTGTTCTCACACCAATGTTTGTGGAAACTCAGGCTTCTCAAAGCAGCTACAGGTCTACAACACAAGGATCTTTGTCAGAGGCAGAGCCAGGGGCAGACCAACTGAGAGCCACTCAGCAGCACTATCAGTTTACACCCACACAGAATAAAGGTATGTGGATTAAGGTGCAAAATATTGAAAATGTCATTTTTAAGAGATATATATTTTATTTTACTATACACTTAAACCTATAATTTCAATATACCTTTGGTCTCTTTTTGTTAATTTTTTTTGTTGCCTCTCTTGTTAAGATTAATAAGTAATTTTTTTTTTCCATTACAACAGTTATGGTGGTAGGAAATCTTCTATGGTGTTAATGAGCTGGGCAAGTCAAGGGTATCTTTGAATGGTACATATGGAATCCATTCACTTTTCCCTGTATTTTGTAAAATTTCTTAGGAACCCCCCTACTTTCACATGTAATTTTGTATAAGGGAATCCCTTAAACAAAATCTGCAAATTTTGTGAAAGTGTCTCTGATGCATTCTAAAAGTGGTGAAGAATGCGCCAAATTCTTGTACCTGTCAAGAACCTGTACTTGAATTTGCTGCATGTTGCGCTACTTTTAGAGTGCACATGAGACACTTGCAAAATCTGTCAGTTTTTCTCCCTGTGCACCAAAAGAGAGTTGGTCTTAACCACTTCTCGTCTGGCATATGTACATAAATGGCCGGACAGCAGCGCTGCTGAAGCAGGTGGACATTTCTAAATGTCCCCCCGCATCCATTGCCTGTGCGCGCTCCCTGGGAGAGAGCGTGGCACCGCGATCGCAGTACAGGACCTCTGTGTGAGGTCCCGATTCATGTGATCACTAATTGGCCAATCAGTGATCACATGAATAGTATTACACAAGATGTCACTTCCTGACAACATTGCTTACTACTTGTGAAATATGTGAATGATCACAGAGGTCACATGGTACAAGGCTATTCACAACAGCCATTTACCATGTGACAAGCTGTGACCAATCACAGCTCTCACAATATTTCTCAATGGCTGCATGAATGCAGCCAGAGAGAAGGAGAAATTATTGCTTTTATTATAGCCTTTTATGGGTGTGAAAGCAATCACTGTAAAAAAAGAAAAACAAATCTTCATCACCCCCCACAAGTAGTACAGTGTCACTATGGTGACACTGTACTGCTAGGGTGACAGTATGTTAAAAAAACAAACAAAAAAGAAACATTAATAACATAAAAATGTAAAAAACATTTTTGCTAAATTATAATTTTTGGTTATAAACTAATTTTGGGGGTTTTTTTTTTGTTACTAAAATGATAGCGGAATACATTTTGGCCAAGATTTATGAAGAAAGATTATTTATTTTCAAAATTTTATAAGCAAAACATTTATTTTTTTCAAAATTTTTGGACGTTTTCATTTATATAGCAAAAAAATAAAAATCCCAGTGGTGAATAAATACCACCAAAATAAAGATTTATCTGTCTAAAAAATGCTAAAAAATCATACGGGTGCAGTGTTGAATGACCGCTCAATTGTCATTCAAAGTGTGAAAGCACTGAAAGCTAAAATTTGGCCTGGACTGGAAGGGGGTGAAAGTGTCCGGGCTTGAAGTGGTTAATTAGCTATATTTTTACATTTTGCACATTCAATGCATCAATATAAAAGTGGCGCAATCAACACAACACAGTATAAAAGTTGTCCATGCAAAGCGGCAGTGTAAAAGTTGCACATTTTAGAACTACCTGAGTTTACTTGAAGAGGGAAATGGCAGGTGACGCGTTTCGAAGCAGTTGCTTCTTCAGACCTGACGGCTCCATCCCCATTCAAAACCAAGTATGAATGCTTTGTGAATTTGGTGCAATACATAAAGAAGAGGGATTAACACCAAAAAAGTGGTGCAGCAGGCCTTATTGAATTCCTCCAATATTTTTATTTACTAGACATATCCATTTAGTTAATATCAATGTTGGGCTTTTTTTCACGATAAAATGATAGATTTATATATATAGCGGGTTAGACATTAAAACTGAATATGGTACAAAGTATTTCTCTCAGAGGAATGGGGGGATATAAAATAGAATATGTTTATAATGATAATAAAAATCAATAATGATACAAATAAAGAGATAATACAATAAATAAGACAGACAAGACATAAAAGTCCACAATCCAGGGACCAGCATGGACCGCAAGGAAGACAGGGACTCGGCGGGCGACCATTGGCAGAAGAGGAAAATGTCAGGTGACGTGTTTCTAAGCAGTTGCTTCTTCAGACCTGACGGCTCCATCCCCATTCATCCTGAACAACCGGGACTCTCACCGCTGGTGGACTTACGGCTTACCAAAGGATTACCTTATGCTCCTTTACTCATGATGTTTGTGAGTAGTTTTAATACCCTATGTTATTAATAAATCAATAACCCTCTACACTCAGATTGGCGCCCCCTTCTGTTCGTTTTTTGCATAAATGAGTACCCCCATTTTGAAAAGTATAATTTTAACCACTTGCCTACTAGGCACTTATACCCCCTTATTTACCAGGCCAATTTTCAGCTTTCAGCGCTGCCGCACTTTGATTGACAATTGCGCGGTCATGCAACATTGTACCCATATGAAATTTTGATCATTTTTTTCTCACAAATAGAGCTTTCTTTTGGTGGTATTTAATCGCCACTGGGCGCTTTACTTTTTGCGCTATAAATAAAAAAAGTGCAAAAAATGTGAAAAAAAAAAAAGTTTCTTTGTTTCTATTATAAAATTTTTCAAACAGGTAATTTTTCTCCTTCACTGATGTGCGTTGAAGAGGCAGCGCTGATGGGCACTGATAGGTGGCACTGATGGGCACTGATAGGCAGCACTAAAGGGCACTGATAGGCAGTACTAATGAGGTGGCACAGATAGGCGGCACTAATAGGCAGCACTAATGAGGTGTCACGGATAGGCGGCACTAATATGCAGCACTGATAGGCGGCACTGATAGGTGACACTGATGATGGGTACTGATAGACGGCACTGACTGGCATCACTGCTGGGCACTGACTGGCACAACGCTGGGCACTGACTGGTGGCACTGACTGGCAGCACTGCTGGGATGCACTGTGGGTGGGTGGGCAGCACTGGTGAGTGGGTACAGGTGGGTGGCACTGGTGGGCACAGGTGGGTGGCACTGCGGTGCACAGGTGGGTGGCACTTCTGGGTGCACAGTGTGCAGTGCACTGGGTGCAGTGTGTGACACTGCAGAGTGGCACAGGTGGGTGCACTGCTGGGCACAGGTGGGTGCACAGGTGGGCACAGGTGGGTGCACTGCTGGGCACAGGTGGGCGGAGCTAGTGGGCGCACTGCGGGGCACAGGTGGGCAGAACTTGTGGGTGGCACTGCTGGGCACCGATCATCAGGGTACGGATCATCGGTGCCCTGATGATTGGTGCCGATTCTCGCTCTGACAACTGCCGGTTCTCGGCAGTACTTTCCTCACGATCTGACAGCGTGAGGAAAGTGCAGCCGAGAAACCGACACTTGCATTTCCCTGTGATCAGCGTGTCATTGGACACCGCTGATCACGTGGTAAAAGGCCGCTGTGATTGGCCTTTTACCACATCACGTGATCAGCTGTGTCCGTAGGACACAGCGTTCACGGAGATCGCCGGGGTGCGCGCCCCCTGGGGCGCGCAGGAGAGCGCGTTCTGGGAGGACGTCATATGACGTTCACCCAGAACTGGCCGGCCGCAGTGCAGCCGTCATTCGGCTATCTGCGGTCGGCAACTAGTTAATCAATATCTCAATGAACTCAAGAACAGTTTCCAAATTTTTTTTACAAAACAGAGTTTTATAGAACATCTATTTAGCTCATTACATGAAAGTAAGGTTAATAATAGAACTTATATTATAAAATCTTCAGTTTTGCGCAAATTAGTTGCTGCAAAAATAAATACACTCCACAACAAAAACTACTACAGCTAGTATTTTATATGACCTACATGATTTGTAAGGACAGCACCAAGTCTTCTAGGCTTGGAATGAACAACTTGGCGACATATTGCATCATCTATCTTTTTCCATTCTTCAACAACTGCCTCTTTTAGAGCCTGGATGCTGGATGGAGAGTGATGCTGAACTTGTCTCTTCAGGATTCCTCATAGGTGTTTGATTGGGTTCAGATCAGGAGATATAGAAGACATTAAAAGAATTGGATATGTATTCTGTAACAGTAGACCAGAATTTCTGTATCTTGATACAGTTCCACATTACATGGATGACGCCCCCCCTTCATTGTGGCATTTAATTTATTTGTTAGATACTACTTTCCCCTTTGTAAATAGTTTACATGATGTACAGTAAAACCTAAAGACTAACCGGTTAAGTGTTAATTGCAGCTCACAAAGCTTCCATTCACATCACCACTCCTCCCCACTAGACCTTTTCTCCTCTGTCCCCGAACCACAGCCTTACTGATAAAGCCTAAGTGACAATTGTCAACATCCCCTTGAGCCTGACCTGCACATGCACTATGCTCTTTCCAATCAATCCTATGAAGGTTTTGTACTCTTTGGGATGAGTATTAACTGGCTGCATGCTTATCCCAGGTAAATTACTAGGAAAGTACAGAAGAGGAAGACAACAAAGTAACTTTGCACTTCAGAAGTGGTCAGCAATGGCAGCTGACTTGTTTCTCCTCTTTTATTTAGGTTTGTCTGGATAATTTTTTCACCCAGTGCTGCCAAAACTTCTGTTCTGTTACTTGCCAAACTGTTCAGTTAACTGCCTGCCACAATTGTAACTTGTTGTTTCTCTTCCTTGATGACTTCACATTTTAGTATGTACAGTGTAATATTATATATTACACATGTGAATAAATACAAATATTAACCACTTGCCCTCCAGAGGATTTACACCCCTTCCTGACCAGGCCATTTTTTGCATTACAGCGTTGCGCTATTTCAACTGGTAATTGCATGGTTATGCAACGCTGTACCCGAACAAAACTGATGTCCTTTTTTTTCACACAAATAGAGCTTTCTTTTGGTGGTATTTGATCACCTCTCGGTTTTTTATTTTTTTTGCGTCATAAACAAAAAAAACTTAAACATTTTGAAAAAAACGATATTTAGAAAAAATATATAGTAAACTCAAAGTCATGAATTTATTTT